TGTTCAGTTCATGTTTTTGTTGGAATCAACAATTGAAGTTGTTGATATTGTATAATATCAATGCATACATCACATTGTGTCATAGTGATGTTTGTAAAGTTTTTCCATTATGCAATAAAAGGTTGATGGCACTGCTAACCTCCAGGGAACCATTAGTGACAGTGACCTCATTTTACTCTCCCCTTTCTAGCACTGACCTTCTGTTAGTCAAGTCTATGTAATCTTTTGTGTAATGTTTGTTCTTTTGAGACACAACCAGTTATACGAGCATAACCAGTTCTTCTCAATCTCCGACAAGCCTATCAAGTCTAATAGTTTTCTTATTTGTCAAAAAATTTTACTAATTTCATTTTTTCTGCCATTTTAATCACTTCTCGGTCACTCTGATTCCTTCTCCAAAACATTCAACAACACTTATTCAGATGTTTTGAGAGTACATACAATGTTAGGCAAAAATAAGAGTTAAATATGAAAAATGCTTTTGTAATGCAGTACCTTTCATATTCTGAATGAGTGCATAATTAACAAACAGACACATAATACTTTGGTGTCTCTCTTAGTACCAGCAATATCTGAGACTTGCATCCTATTTGTTGATACTTGATGTATAATACTTTTCAAAAAATGTATCTGATTCTGGCATTCTACCAATTGTATTTGAAATGTAACTTGAAACCTTTCCCATTCATTGCTTTGTTAAACAGTATGGCTTGATTCTTACCAGGATACAGTGAGGCTAATTAATTAACAAGATATCCTTTTCCACTAGAGATGTACTGATTAATCATTCACTGATCATTAATCAAACTAATCACTCCTCTGATTAATCATCAAGTGACAATTCTGCAACAATTGGAGTAATCAATAAATAATCATTCCATTGAAAAAACATAATTTAATAACTTTTAACATTTATTACTTTTTAAATTAAATTTAAAAAAAGCAAATGAATGATATTCAAAGGAACAATAACTATATATATATAAACACTAAGTCCAATGTATTAATAATATAATAAACCAAATGATTGCCATAATTAATCTTCCACACTATTCTAAAATTATTTAATAAATATTAACTTATTATAATTATTAATTTTGATAAGAGATGGTGCCTAATGTCTACCTTTAATATCAAATTACTTAAATAGGTAATTATTAATAGTAGCGAAAATTAGCCCAATTAATTATAGGAACAATAACTATTAATAAGTTTAGGCTACAGTTAAGATAATTGAGCATTTTCCTGTTTTCTGGCTCTAGCATGTTTTTCCTTGGCTTATTATGCTTTTGCTATTACTAAGAAACTATTCACATGTTACAAAGGTAGATGGGACAGGAAGGTACTTCCAGGCAAAGGAATTTAACTCAGGAAATATGTTATCATTTTTATGGCACCATAGGTAAAGGTTTTTTGTATTTTCAATAATAGCAAACTTGAGTTAGAGTGAATTTGTGTTGAAGTATTTTCCAATATTTTTGTGTCTGTATAATGGGAGCTTTGAAAATAACAGTTCCAACAAAAGACCCTTAGACTCTAGCCTAAGAGTCTTTTGTTGTTTCCAGGATTGGAAACAGTAAACTAGGGCAGCTAGGCCTTAAGACTCCTTCATTGAAACCATTATTTTCCAAGTCAAAGCACCATGTCCTCCAATTCCCAGAGCTGAAATGATTTCATGTAAACATCTCTGTTGATTATAGTGGTAGTGGCAGAATTGCTGGAATTAGTTAACAGTTCCTTTCTGTGTAACGAGGAGTGTCGAGACTCGTTCAGCTTAAGGATTCCTTTAAAGTGTGTCATGAATGATTCCTCCTTTTTCATGTGTTTTAGAAATGTATGTGTTTATGAAAATGTACGTTGGACTGAAGAAGAATGTTGAAAATATGTTGCCATCTTGCAGTCTGTAGCAAGGTCATTTGAAACAACTTTGAGACAAAAATTACATCATCAATGCAGAATTGAAGAGCATAGGCTCAGCATGGTAGTCCAGAAAATTTTGTTCGATTATGCTGGAGACAATATTGTTGTTGTTATCCTGTACTATAACGTACGTTTTGGTATGTCCCATAAACATATCATGCTTATTAATTCAGTTTTTATGTCTGCACCTGTATGTTTCCCAGGAAAGGACATCACTTTCAAAACGCATGTTTGGTGTTTGAAATATTTATCAAACTAGCATTCTGTTACCCATGGATGTTGGCATTCCAAATATCGCTGATAAACAAAAGAAAGTCTTTGCCAGTGGTACATCCAGGAATGGTCAAGCCCCCCTTTATTTTTAATTCTGCTTCCACAGCAGAATTAAAAATAAAATAAAGTAAGACCTGTGCAACATTGCCAACCTTATCCATAACAGGACATAACTGTGTGCATGGCTTGTGGGTCTTTATGAAGGTGAAACTGTGTGAAGTATCAGGTGCTGTAAGAGGTGAAGGATGTCTACCAGAGGAGTATTGCAGGAATGGAATTGTTATGCAGGAACCCATCCAGATCTATAAAACATTGCATTTGTTGTGTATAATCCAAAATTTTAGCATAAAGTGAATCTCCTGATAAGAATTATGTATTTGGATATATCAGTGTGGATGGTGACTGTTGTTTGATCTCATCCAGGAATTGGATTGACACAGAGAGTTCCAAAATCACAGTTGATTGTGGGATTATGGCCAAGAGTACAGATTGTCATCCACTGGTACAGTTTGTTGTGTGGATCATCCATCCCTTCTGTGAGTAGTTTCAAGTTGGGGATGATGCACTTTGGGTTAGTGTCCAGGTGAGACCATAAAGGGCCTATAGATCCAACAAAGAATTGGAATATATGGGAGCTACTAGCCAACAAATTGCTAGCCACTTCAAAAAGCATCAAACAGACAAAAGTAAGATCCTCAATTCCATTGTATTATCATCTTATGCCTTAGATCCTGATGTTGAGGTTCATTTTGACTGAGCCAGGATACTTCATTGAACATTTAACAGAGAACAACTCTGATATATAGAGCTTATAGAGATGTACAAGGTGAGAAAAGTGGCCATCAACTTTCCCAATGCTTTCCCAACAGCATGGGAAATATGCTACCATTTTATTTAATCATGATATTTCCACAAGATGCTAGAACTATTTCCACTAATCGGTGAGCAGCTACATATTTGAACCTGTGATTCCAAAACCTGCAGTTCTAGTTTCATACATTAGCCTGATGTCCGTTCAAGATGGAAGAAAACACTTGCTGTTCTAAAGTGTTCTTATTGATACTGACAAATGCCAGGCTTTAGCTGTTGGAAATATGTTAATTTCTTTTTTATTTTTATTAAGAAATTGATATCTGACTTGCTGAAGTTACATATTATATTAATTTGAATCATTTTTGTTTTTCAGATCATATATCAACATTGTGTGTGAGAGAGAGATACCATCCACTTTATAAGATGATTGATGGTGCTGTATTAACATCAGAGGGCGAGAACAAGCTTGAATGTGTGATCACCTTTCAAACCGATTCCATCCTACAACGTTTTATGCTAAGGTTTGAAAGACTTGCTTTGGATTGTAATGATCACCTCTACATATTTGATGGAGCACATACATTAGGAAAACATGAGGTTGTATTTTAATTTCTAAACAGTTTATTATGGTTTTCATTGAATTTTTAGTTTTAGTTTAATTTTAAACATTTTAAAACTTTTTTTTTACAAAGAAGCAGCAAAATAGAGATAAAATTTGAATGAAAAATTAAGAATAGTTATTAGCTTTCTGTACATTATATATTACATTTATGTAGTGTAGAATTAAGGAATTGTTTTTTGTTTAAGTTTTAAGTATTATCATAATTGTGAAGTGATACACAGGTAGAGGTTTTCTGTAAAAGGTTTAAGTAAAACTCTTCAGCATTTTGGAGATGATATGGTTGGATATGAAGAAAGCTATGTAGTGCTTATTGTAGAAAATGTGTTACTTTAAATATAAACTGAGGAAGAAATTTAAGAAAAAAATCAACAAATGGAATAATGAGACAATGAAGATTGGTTGTCAAAAGAATAAATCATAGTTATAGACTGCATAGATCCTTAAATTATGAATGTACAGTTGAGATGTGAACTGCCAAAGGAAACATAAAGTATCAAATATTTGGTGGTATTTTCACAAACAATGGAAATTTAGATTACCAAAAGTACATTACAAAAATTCTTTACATTACCAAAAGAATACCTGCAATTCAAAGATTTTCATTGATGTGTGTATTCCATCATGGGTACAAAAGGCATAGATGATGATTTACTGCATACTCTTGATACATTATCATCTATTCCTACATTCTGTACACCTATGCTCTATTTTATTGATTAATGTATGCTACTTCTCCAATATTAATATAAAGATCAGAATTTCAACACTGATAAAGAGAGATGTAAGTAGAATATATGGAAATGTTAAGAATAGGAAAAGGGAAAATTAGAAGTGATAGAATAATGAAATAATAAGGAATAGCTTAAAGCTCTGTTTACATTATCCACCATGTTTGAATTAAATGAACACTAACTGAAACAAAATATTGTCACATTGTACTATGTGACACAAACTAAGTTAAGATGTGATTAGTTAAAAATGCTTCAAATGCAAGTTGTAAAAAGTTAGTTGGTCGAACAAACCAAAGTTCTACAAAAATGGAGATATTCTCAACTCCTAACAAACTGGTCAAATATTTGCCAAAAGGGGACAAACCAATAGTTCATATCCACTTTGTAGCAGTTTATATGTCAATGTGAACCTAACTTTAAAAGTTATCAATGTAATGGATGGAATGAGAAGCATATCTGGTAAGGTTTGGGCATATAAAGCAAATAGTCTTTAAAAGAATATTGAAAATTTCTCTGAACAGAAAATAAAAGGAAACATATCTAGGGAAAGATTAAGAAAGGGATGAAGAGATCAGATTAAAGAAGACTTGGATAGAATAAAAAGACAGAAAGATGGTTCATGAAGGAAGTTTGTGGGAACACAGAAAAGATGGAAGGTTTTTCATTAACCTGATGAAATGTTAGAAAAAGGTTTGATGATGATGATATGCACATTATATTAAACATTAGTATATATTTAAAATATAATACATTTTATAGTGGTCTGTTATTTGGTAGCACAAATTGCATGATGTCATAGATTCTGTCACACTTGGCTTCCATAACTGTGTGCTTGTATTGTTTTCTATGGACAATATTTGTTTTCTAATTGGAATTAAACCTTTAAAGTTTTTTCTGTCAATTTCCTAACAATTACATATTTATAAAAATAAATGTAATAATTATTATAAGATATGTTTTAATGGAGTGTAGTTATAATGTAGTTGTGGAGTTAGTTGAAATATAGTGTAATAATGAAAGAAGTCTATAACTGTAAAAATGTATACCAAAAAATGTTAGCAATTTATCAAGTCTCATCCATTATTCTAAAGAAAACTTCTTGTTACAAATGACAAAAGTTTAATACAGTTTATAAAAGTAGAATTCTTTATTTAGTAATTAATATTACATCAGATAAACATTCACTGTCCCGGCACTTAGAACACAGAATTATTTTTCTCCTGCCGTACTTATCATCTGTTAATTCTCTCTGCAGTTTCACTAATAATGTCAGTTCTTCCTGTCTTCAGCAATTAGGATTCATCCACAGACATTTGGTTTTAAACACAACTGTTCTTCCACTCTTGAAGTTTCCTTTTCTAAGAGTACAGATATGGCTTTTTTTTGCACTTAAATACTACTTCCCTAAACTCTTGGAATTTTATTTTTTCTTGACAAAGTACTTAACTTTCCTTTATTTTCCACTCTCAAAATTTTGAATTTAATGCTCACTGAGATGTTAATAACTTAAGTTAACTTGAGAAACAGTGATATGAATTAGTTGTCTGGAAATACAAGTACATAGAAGAGGCGTTCAGCTACATTCAAAGAAAATGGTCAATATGTAATAGATAAGGTAACATTTTTAGCTGTATTAATCTGAAAAGTTTTTCTACACATTCATCGACATATTCTTTATCGCACGGAATCTTAACAAAATTACAGTTTTATCGAGATACTGTGTAATAATAATTTTACTGAAAATGATAACTTTATATACATATTTTTTTAAATTAATGTTTCAATATTGAAATTTTCTTTTTAGGTTGATTTATCTTGCCGGAGTACCAGAGCAAACGTAGGGACCATTTTTACTCTCAGTAGCTTTGTTACACTTAAATATGAGACAGATAGCTGGAGTCCTGCTGGAAATGGATTCAAATTAATTATCACTGCCGTTAGAAATTCACGTAAGTTTATATATATTTTTAAAGTTTAGATCGGTAATTCTTAACTTTTCTGAGGCCGTGGAACATCATTCGTATACAGTGGAGTCCCATACAGTGCAAGGGATACGTTCTGTTTTATAGGAAATCACGTTATTTGACGATTTAATGAAAGTTTAAACCTAGGCCTAGAAGTTGGAGAAGAAAACTTATGTCTGAATGACAAAATTAGAATTTTGTATGAGTACTAGTTGCAATTATTTTGTTGCATTATTTGAATTTGCAATATAGACGACCACGTTACACAGGAATTCAATGTACTTTCTGTGATATGGAAGAATTAGCATCAATATATTCAAAACTTGATAAGCAGTTCCATGTTTACTATTCTCATGAAACTGTGATGTTCACTATGAGAGACAGTATGATGTGCGAGTGTAACGGTACAACAAGAAGTTCAAAGATGCTTTGTCCATGAAGTATTCTTTATTCTCCCTAAACATATTCTTACAAGGGATCCCAACTTTACAAATCTAGTTACAATAGTATATGCAAATCTTTGCACCTTTTAACAGTATCGAAAGATACTGCATGTAACAATTAATACATCCAGTCTTGAGAAACTTACAACTAATTTAAGTCTAACTTAAATCTAAAGAAATTAAGAATTTTATAGGAAAGAGAAGAAAAAAACAAGGAAAGTAGGGAAGTACAGTCGACCCCCCTATAAGATATAGATACGTTCCAATTTATTAGGAATCCGATTTCTTACAAGTCGTTCCAATCACAGCCCGACACGAGTCAAGTTTACGGACTATGGCTGATTGAAAGGTTTTCTTCCATAAAATTAATCGATTCTACTCTAATCCGACTCAACATTTCCAAAATACGTATATTTTTTCGTAGTTTTATAGGAATCGTAATTATAGGGACCGTAATTATAGGGGGGTCGACTGTATTGAAATACCTGGGAATTCTTTGTTCAGTGTGCTCTCTTGGATAGGATGCCAACTTAACGTTTTGTTCTTTAGCTTTAACAATGTCATACCTATCCTTAGGTCTTGAAACTATATTCTTTCAAGGTATCTTCAAGACTCTCTTGCCTGTTGATCTCTCTTTTCGACCTCTCTGAGTTTGCAGTCTCTTCTCTCATTCTTCTCTGGTCTAGAGCCCTGCCTTACATACCTGTCCTCTCCGAGATCTTGCCAAAAAGTCCTCGTTACACTAGCCATTTTGTCCCAAGCATCTTCAACACTTCTGTTCTATTGAACTTCCCAGAATGACTAATCCCATCCAAGGGCAATAACAGTTCAGAGCGAAGATTCCAAGAAGGGTTTAGAAAACAAGGGAAAGCAGAGTATTAAAATAAAATTAAAGACATGTACAATAATGGCTGACAGCCACGAAACAATGAAGCAATAAACTTTATTGTATGGAACAAAATATAAACATAGAATTGTCTATGAATAAAGTAATGGGTTGTAATATGTTAAAATAAATTTATGATATAAACTTTAAAATCTTTCGTTTTCTCGTGGAACACTTGGAGAAAGTTTACAGAACATGGGTTAAGAACCACTGGTTTGGATGAAGTAGAAATATTTGGTTTCAAGTTGCATAGAAGTAAAACTTAATTTTCTTCTTTATTGGGCTGTAATTGAAAAAATTATAGACCTATAAATTTCCATAGTCATCCGTCCATTGTCTGTCTTTCTTTAATCGCGAGAATGGAGTTAGATAGATGGAAGACGAGACCAAGTAACCTTAGGGAAAGGAGGCCCCTGTTAACTATATACAAACTTCCAACGCAAACCGGAAGTCATGTTATTTCAATTCATTTTCCCCAAACGTTGTTAGATATATGACCGCATAATGCTGTTGTTAAAAGAAAAGTATGATGTACAGGGGCAAGACACTACTAATTTGAGGTGGAGAGCATACATTTAAAAACAATGAAAAATATGATTAAAAATTGCAGCCCGGCATTGTGACAATATCACAATAATTTTGATACAGTAGAGCCTCGAAAACTCGGCCTAATGTGGACCGAAGGGTGGCTGAGTTTGTGAAAATGCCGGGTTATCGGGAATGGGGTTAAAAAAGGATAAGTATGCGTGTTTCCTCAGAAAATATTGTACTGTACTTGTATGTATTGTTTGCTTGAGAATACAACAGAGAATAAACTGCCCAAATACCCTTAAACAAAGGAAAAGTACGTCCTTTATGAAGGCATAGAGCCTTTACTACATGAAAATGAAAATTAATGAATACACTGTGTACAGTAATTTACCTGATAAGACAGACCTCAGAAAAATACTTTATGAGGCATAAAGCTATCTATGATGAAAATTAATTATCTAAGGGTATTTTTGCCCTGCCAAGGTGTGGCCGAGTTATCCGGAGTGCCGGGTTATCAAGTGCCGAGTTTTCGAGGCTCTACTGTATTAGAAATTTGTAACACTTTTAAAAATTATAATGAAATAGCATAACAGTTTTTCTCATGAAATATTCAAGTTAAATAAAAACAAGTAAAACAGCAAAGCATTTTTAGAACGAGACTGTTTCAAAAACCGTGAGCAACACATGCGCAAATCTCACACTCAGTTTGTAGAAACAGTGTGAGATTTTTGACCTGGTTCTCACCTTTGAACACTTTTGACCTGGTTCTCAGTCCCCTGACTACCTACAAGTCTGGTTTATTTTATGTGTGCATGATTCGGGCACCAAATACTTTGTGCCAAATTGCAAATCCTGACACATACTCCTTCATATCTCTAAGGTGTGCAGCTGTTGACAGCAGTGCAATTTTAGGGACGAGACATAGTCTCATCAAAAAGAGGAAACAAAATAATGTTTGTTAACTGTTTACATTTAAAATAAATGATTATTTTCTTATCTATATCTTAAATTTAAATATTTTTAGAATTTGGATGTCGAGATTTTCACTGCCTCAACACTTTTTGCATATCACAAGACTTAACATGTGATAGAGTTAACCATTGTGGAGATAATAGTGATGAAACAAGTTTTGCATATTGTGTTGGTAAGACTTATTTTATCATAATCAATCACGTTGATAAATTCTTTAATTACTATAATAATTTAATATAAAAGTAGAATCTGCTTATAGTTGCCATCTTTAATAAAATAATTTATGATATAAGCATAATTCTATAAAGTTAGTAAAATACAAAAGAAGGAAGTGATTAAATTTTAACAAAGAATACAAATCAATTTTCTCAAAAATTTACTATTTGTATATCAGAAAATTAGTATTGATTTATGTCAAGAAATAAGTAAGACATTATAACGTTAATTAATTTTTTCTTGTATTTTAAATGTTAGACGATACAAATGGTGGCCAAATTCTCGGACTCGGGGTAAGTGTATTTGTTGCTGTTGTTGTGAGCATATTCATTGTGTGCTGTGTATGCGTAATTGGCACAGCTGTCTGTTTATGTCGAAGAGAACCGCTTCAGCCTCGTCATCCACCGACAGGACATGTCACATACCCTAGTAAGTGTGTAATGCTGATAATTAGTATAATTCTTAAACATCTGTTCGCAAAATTGGATTTTTGAATTAATTTGATTATTGACATTATAAAGCCATATGTCATTTCACGAACACTCACGTGCGCTAACTGAATTTTTCAGTTCTTAAAAACCAACTGGTGTCAAGTATCCTGATATAATAAAATGTCAGGAGAGCTGACTATTGTGTGCTGTAGACCTAGTGTCGTTGCTAGGCTAGTGCATGCGAACCTACTGACCCGACTTTGTAGTTTTATTATATACGAGGCCTCAGTGAGTTGACATTGTGTATTTACTAGGTATTGCTGTAACAGATGAATGTAGATGATCACAACTGCCTTGCTTTTATCTGCCCTGACCAATGTGATGTCTTGGGATCTGAGCCAATTTTTACTTTGTTTGATGTCTTCCCAGAATTTGTTAACTTTTGGCTCTTGTGTTTTTCAATAGGGAATAGTGCCTTCCATCTAAGATATTCCTTACAGTTGTCAGGACATTTATTATTTGCAGATTATAGTAATCTCTCAATGTTAGGTATAACAGAGAATGGATTAGGTGCTACAGGCTTAGGAATGAACATTGGTCCAAATTGGAATGTCCTTCGGAAGTATTCTGGAGGCGAAATGTTGACCCAGCAAATTATAATGCTGTTGATTTTAGGTTTGGGATGCTGCTTTTGTATACTTAATATCCATTTGAGCTTTTTGTCGTATCCACATTGCAACCTACATCTGATTGATGCCTCTAGATCGATGAGCCTAGAGTTCACATATTTCAAGATGATGTAAACCTGTTGATATAACTCTTTCTCAAGATTAATAAGGTGCTTCAATTTATGGTACAGTACATGAGGCATCTGGTATTTCTAATGGTTTTTCTAAGACACAGGAATTGTATTTTTGGTGAAAGTGCATCACAGCTGTATAGTAACTTTATTCGGAAGATGGAAAACCATACATAAAGAAACCACAACAGTTTATAGACTCTCACCTAAACACAAAATTTCCAGCAAAACACCCAAATTTAACATTCAAATGTTTTCGGCCACTCCTTTATCGGTCTTCGTCAGGAAATGTCAAACAAAAATAACTGTTTTACCTACATCCTATGTCCATCTGTTACAGCAGTATATAGTAGATACATAATGTCAGCTCTACGAGGCCTCATAATAAAATTGGTTTGCTTAGCAACCATATATTGAAGTTCACAATATCTAATCAGATTCAAAGTCAAATTAACTTTCATGACATATAAAAACTTTCATGACATATAAAAAGATTTGAAAGGTACTTGGGATATAACTGTTAAAAAATTTCCAGTAAAGCATACTTGATTATACAGTGTGTCCAAAAAGTTATTTATACTGTTTGCAATGACATTAAAGTTATACATGTGGCATTGCATACAAGACCCATAAGTTGTACATTGTGCGTTTACACTTTATGATAGCTGGCTTACAGGCACACTGATTTTTTGACTACAGTTTTAGGAAGACTTGTTTGCCAACTGCATGATCACCCATGGAATCTGATCCAAAATCCAGAGGACTTCACTCCTCTGGATTTTGGGACCTCTGGGGACATTTCTGGCATTTTCTATAGAAGAAAGAGAAAATACAATATTATACATAAAACTTCATTTTTATTAAAACTTAAACCTTTTCCATCACACAGTAACTTTTTGTACACCCCACGTATATCATGTAAGCATATACAGTGTTTTATATTTTTATAAAATTTAATCTTTTTAAATTTTCATGACTATTTGTTGTTATAATTTAATTTCAATCGATTAAAAACCATTCAGTTAAACTGTTTCCAATATCTAGCTTCTGTCTATTCCCTTATGTCCCGCACCTCACAGCCGATTCCAGGTTCCGCAAGTCACCCGAGCCATTGGAAGAGGAACGACACCCATACCTGGAAAACACATGCCTATATCTCCGAGGCGTCGTACTCGGATACAGTGTTCTCGAAGAAAACGTCTTCTGTCCTCCAAAACGAGATCTAGTCAATGCCGGTCTGCAAGACAACTACCACAGCCACCACGCACAGAATGGCTGGTTTAATATAATTGGCTTTTGTAGTTATTAATTGCTTAATAATATACTATATCCTGTTGATTAGTAATAAGAATAATTTATTTTATAAATGAATTTTATAGTTTTTAATTTTCCAGAATATCATCGTGTCGAACGAAATATTTCATATTCACATAGATGCTTTTTCGTGAAATTTGCATATACTGCATTTACTNACATATATATATAAAAGAAAAACAACTGTTGAGATATTGCTCTTGAATGTTGTTTAAATAGACTCTTGTGATAATCCAGGTGATAACCCTATGCACCGTATGGTTTTCATATTTTATATTTTACTGTAGAAATATTCTTCTAGAAACAGACTGGAAAAAATATATATATACAGTCATTACACTAATTTATATGTTAATATAAATGAAAATATGTTGTTATAATTATATATATTATGAAATACAGTCGATATATTCTATCTTTTTAAAGGTATGGTTGTCTCTAAATTCATATCACTGCCATTCTTGTTGCCACATAATATATATTATAAATACATGATTTGCCAAAAGGGTAAATTATTGGCAAATTAAAATATTTTGAAAAGTACAATGTTGCAGTTTTGACATCAAAATTTATGTTTATTTTTTTATTTGTAATGCATTTCTATTACCAAAAAAAATGTATTCATATACATAAACTATATCATACGTTTTTTATTTAGCCCCACACAAGAAATTTGACTCGTTGCTCTCAGAGATTTAGCGAGTTCGAGTTCTCAAAGATAAATACCGAAATTGTTAAATTTCAGAGTACCTAATTGTGAAATTTCATACTAATATATGATATTGATGAAATTCGGAAACAAACTATTCTCGTACAGTTATGTACGTCACAATACTTAGTACAAAATAACAGGTATTGATAATTTCCTTATAAATTTTGAATTGCTTTATTGATTTGAAATGTTTAAATATTAACACACGATGAATGAATCTCAATTGGCATAGAAGATTTTTATTATTACTTCAGACATTTTGTTAAATGCTGGATTATTTTGGGCCCAGATAATGTGACCGGTAATTCATCCGCATGGTAAACAGAAATTATGGGTTCGAGTTTAGCTTCGGGTCACTCTTTTCTTTTGGAATATTCTAAGTTATTAAATTTAATTCAAAAGTTGATAATAATTGTACAAGATGGAAGTCTTACTGCATATCTTTAGACCAAATTACTTTGTATCGGTAATTATTAGCCACGATATGGGCCAAAATGATACAGTGATTAGAGATTTGTTCGTTGTAGCATTTCAATTATAACTTTTTTGTAAATTTGATTGAAATTTGTTAATTGACTATTATGTTATTTGTACAATATCTTTTCATGTTAATACTTAAGTATTTGTTCTAAAAATGATAAACAGAGTTTACTTGTTAATTATAATTATTTCTGTGGCTTGGAAGAATAATGGCCAGTGCACTTGACAATTGGTCTTTATTCTTATTCTTTCAAGCCTCAGATTTAACTTAACCATCAGAAAATAGACTTCTTAAGTTAAATTTCTCTTAACTGTACCTGTACATCAAAGAATCTCATAAAAAAATCCATTAAGTTATTAAGAATGAAAGTTTTCAGCAAATTAAATGGCCATTACCAACTTCTAGAGTGCGACAAATTTAAAAACACATAAGCTCTCGTTACAATGTGACAAATAGACCACGAAGACAGACAAGAGCATTTTTTCTTACTAAATGTTGGATTTTGTAAAGGATTTTTTGCTCTGACAGTCTATTTATCCTTGTTTAAATTTCTGTTATAAAACAATTATAAAGCTTTGGTAAAGAAGAAAAAATTGGCTTTGTTTTTAAAATTACAAAAAAGATGTTAAAACAATTGATCAATTTCCCTTATCAATGAATAATTTATATTTTCTGAATTCTTCTATAGAAAAAAAAAAAAGAGTTATAGGAATAATAAACCAATTTAATTTCATTTTTTATAACTGATATAAATTCTTTTAAAAATATTAATTCAATAAATATGCATTAAAAATAGATTTAAAATTTTCGGAGCCATAATCTGTATAGAAATGAATTTAAACTGAACTTTTAATTAGGATGACTATTCCTATAATTGTTTACATTTATTCTGAACAAATCATTACTTTTTAAAATTCATTTTGTTTCCTCGCTCGTCTCTTTTGCGATTTAAGAATCAAACCTGACTAAATCAAGCTTTTATCTAAATTAAAAATTCATTAATAAAAGAGTAAGAAAATTTAAAAAAACAATGATTTACACTGAAAGCAAAGACTAATTTCTATAATTAATAAATTCCGACTTTATTGTAGAGTTAAATTAAAATTTAATGAATTCTCATACTTTCAAGATGAGCCAGGGGGCTTAAAAATATCATAATTTACTGTATATAATATGTAGATTGTGTTAAAAACTTTAATAGTATGGATTAGGCTATTACATGCAGTCTATGATGATTTTTGCATATATCAAAAGGCTCCAAAAATCATTCTGCTTTCTTTTTACATCAAAATGTCTTCATCAGAGTCTTCTCCCCATCTATACAGAATGTCTGTCCAAGTGACGGATCCAGAAATTGTGATACCGTATTAATACAAAGATTTGCGACAACACTGTAGGAAAACCAAATTCAAAAATTGTACTGGGAGTATTGCAATCTTTGTATGAAATCGAGTTTATTTTTATTTTATCCAAATTTATAATAAGTCAAGCTGTTCTGCAGTAAATTACTTTTGACTTTGATTTTTGGACAGTAATAGCACGAATCAAAATTATAGTTAAGCGCAAATAAATGGGCAATTATACGACATATTTATTGCCCACTACAGTATTATTCAACACTTGTTATATTTTGTCTTTGGCAAGTGCGACTGACAATTTGAACTCAAAAAAAATTTTTTAATACACCAGTTTCGGCTGCTGTAAGTTGGGATTCAAATGTATTTTATAATTCTAGATTTTTAAACGTTAACTATACCACTTATGTCCTTATAGGTTGCATGATTTCATTGTCTGTGTGCCAAGGAAGTAAGTGACTGTACGAACTTGTACAGATTATACAACAAATCTTTTATTTTCTTTTAGTGTAGAGTTACTTTTGCAGATTATGTGACAATAACATTTTTTGCCAATGAAAATTGCACTGCATTATACACTGAAAGTTATGGTACTTGGAACTCATTGGATTTTAACTTAGCTCTCCAATAAAGCAGGAATGCACCAATTTTTATCTATTCATTTTAACATAAGTTTAAAGATAAGTTGTCAATTATTTCAAATTGCAATTTACATCCAAACTGGTCAATGTTACATAACTGCGAACATACATAATTTTTAACTCTAAGTTTCTTTCTTATATTAAATATTTTGTTTTTCAAATGTTTTGAATGGTTGAAATATCATCATGTTGGATATTAGAGTGAAATTTGTAAGGAATTATATGCACAAAATTAGATTTTTAGTCGCTCGAATTAAAATATATTTATTACATTAAGTACAAAAATATTTAACTTAGAAATTTTATATTACCACAATGAACATTTTATTGCTATAAATTGTATAGAATGTAATTATATCAATGTATTGAATCGAAAGCAAGTTCACCTATGTGATATCAAATAAACTAATGACGATTATACATCATCGTCATTAATTTATTTGACACTGTATAGAAGAACACAAATGCTTTTTTCGAATAGAAATTTTAACTTAATTTATAAATCATTTTAATCAAACAATAGTTAACTAACAATATTAGGAATTGTTAAATTGATATGAAATATACTGTTACATTATATCCATTCCAACATATCTAGTGATTTTATTTGAATGAGCTGATATAGTTTACCAATTAAAATAATTGCAATACCCTTTAGTGATGAGTACAACTTTGTAGACAAATGTTTTTGATCCAGGAATGGCCCATTAATTGTTGGCCATATTGAAAGTGTTTGTGATCTGTGAATGTTACGACAGTTAATGGGCCATTCTTGGGTGCCGCTCACCGCTAAAGGTATCTGTTTTATTTAAATATCGGGTGATTTGTGAACTGATACTACATTCGATATTTCTATATTCGTCTCACACACGACCGTGCCAAACAATTGCACTTCTCATAAGCAAGATTTGATAAAAATATTTTTATCAGATCAAGTAATGTGAAATATTAAAACTTATACTGGATCTATTTAAATTAATAAAATGTTCCAAACCTTAAAATCTAGCAGGAATAGCTTCTTAAATTAGTATTTTTAAAAGTAGCCTACAGGATACATCTGTATATAATGCTGAAATGATAGATTAGTATTAATAAAACAAAGATAAAAACTATAAACACTAGAGATGTGTGCACACAATTACATTAATATAAAATGGGGAAAATTAGGAAAAAAAAATCTGTTACATTTTCTAGCAACATTAAATGGGAACAACTTTGTCCAAAGTAATGTGCATGATTCAGATACAAAGTTTAATGGGGACTGTTATTTGGAGGGTAGTTTAAAGTCATTAAAAAATCTTGGACAATTAACTAAGGAACTAAGAAACAAATTACTTGGTTGTTGCATAGTAAGAAAGTGTTATATGTACAAAATCTAAGTAATGGGTGCATAATAAATGTGTATTGTTTCAGACAAAGCTGTTAATTAGCTTTGACTGAAACAATATGCTGTATTTTATGGTGTGCTTATAAATGCATTGGTTTGTTGGCACCAGTAAATAGTTGAATTGGGCACTTTGAATTGTCATATATGGTTATTTGGTGATATAATTCTATAATGCATTTATTGCAAGTTCTAAGGCACACATGGGCAGATTTTTATCATTAACAAGTTCTATTGTTTTGAATTTATTCAACTGTTTGCATTTTGTTTTGTCTACAGGAGTTAGCTTATGAAATTCTCTCTGAATCTTGTCTATTTCTTTCCTTTGATACATAACAGTAGTATCAAGTGTTCTTGACATTCACTTTCATGGATTACTCCAATAAAAAAGAAATAAAATTTACATTTAAATTATACATAATTTATCTACATATATTATTCATATGTTGTTTTTAATTAGTGACAAGTTTAAAATTTTTCGAATAGATGGAGGCAAGCTATCTTTAAGCATTTAGTAATGATGCAAACATTTCTTAC